CAAGTGAATGTTTATAAAATGAGATTACGGGGTTCACCTGCCCTCTATTATTGGCATTCAGTGTCCAAGTTAGTAAAGTTTATAAAATGACGATACTCCAGATATTATGTAGTTATCCTTAAAAAAAACACTAATGTTTATAAAATGTGTCTTGGAATTTGCATTGTGTAAAGGAAAAGGATCTGCATTTTATAAGCCCACAATCATGGGGGATTTTCCGGAAAGGCCACTTGTAGATGAACTGGCTCCTCACTTGGCCTAACAGTGGGCATACATAGAAGGGACAATAAACCATGGGCATTCTGCAACAGTATGGACAAGCTACGAAAATCCGGGCCGGAAGTGAGTCTACATGACTATAAAGTATATATAACCCTTATCGACGCATCTCCTCAAACGGCACCAAACTGAGGTCTACCCGCAACTGAGGCCTACGCGCTACACATCTATGAGCCGTCCGAAGACCGCGCCTTGTAGCTGAGCTGGCTGCTATCTGTCCATGGCGTTTTTTTGCCGATGGATGATTTTCGTATCTTTTTGTTTTGTGATTCGTTGGGTCTTGCGCTTCCTAGGAATTGGTAGAAGGAGGGCTGGTCCATGTTACAATCGCATGGCCAACAAACAGAGGCTGAACCAGCCAAGATCGCAGGACCAGGACGGCAGCTCCTGGAAACACATAGAGACAAACTCGTCAAACCTAGCGTTCCAGTGGCCACTGCAACATGGCAACCACATGCAACCACCTGTTCTCAAAAAGAACCTCGACCCAGAGCCACTAGTTGCATGCGTGGTGGGGCCCATGTGTCTACAGACCCACTGAAGCGGGTCAGTCCCCACTGAAAGGTGGCGAGTGCAGGTGGCGACAGCACCTTCGCCTTCACCAGCGAGCTGATTTTGCCACTGACCTTATGGGTCTTTGTTCTCGGTTGGACACCGACCTCACAGCATCCCCAGTGGATCCACTAGAGACCAAAGGTTCCAAAGCCAATCAACGCAGCTCTAGAATCCTGGTTCAGCATGCCTCCTTCTAAATACTGATAGTTGGTCTGTTTTTAAGCCTGCCCGAAGGATTGTAACTCGGTTCCACTGGGGGACTACGAAGAATAAAGTTGAACAAAGCGCTCCCCGCTGCACAGAAGTGTGGGGCGTCCTGCTCCCATTGAGCCACCATCAACTCTGTGAAATGAACATATTGCAGTACATTAGATTGAAGGGCGGTGTTGCTCATACATGCTTATATAGTCATGTGTGTCCTTACCCCCAAACACTCACCCTCGGTTGG